ACTTGACTTTTACCCTGCCTTGTTATTTTCGTTGTTGCTCAGGTCATTTGAAACAATAGTCTTTTTATGAATGGGGCTGTATTACTGTGTTTCACCATAATCTTATCAAATACAGAAATTGCCAAATAACCGTAATCCGAGTCAGTTTAATAGCCATTAGTTTTCAAAACATGCATTTGGATACTAAACCCAGATAGGAGTCTCCATATTGATAGATCACATCCATATTGACAGCCTATCTCCATATTTTCATTGAAATATGATTTTGAAGACTCAAATTTGTGCTAGAAGCTATTTTTAAAGGTAATTTTTTTTTTAACCAGAACAGATGTTTGTCAACAGAGAATCCAAAAATCAATGGATTAATTTAACCTTTACCATAGCTCACACTGGTAAACCATCAGAGCAGCAAATGCTGTCTTCAGATTATAATTAGCGCTTGTTATTTTATATTCCCTGCTTTATTATTGGACGTTATACAAATGTTTACCAAAAGTATTACTGCTGTTAAAAAAGAGGTTATATTTATAGGAAAACATGATCATGGGGATGAACAACATCTACTCATATAATCTTATTTTTGCTTATTAATTTGAGAATTTTCAGAATAATACTTGCCTGCTTTTGAGAAAGTGGAGTGGTTATTGCAAAGACAAGACAATGTTTGTCTTGAAATTGGAGAAAAGATGGAACAGAATATTTAAATCAATATGTCTTTTTAGAGACCTTTGCAGAGCCTTCACTACAAGCCACTCAGATGAAACTGAAGAGAGCTCGGTTGGCAGATGATCTGAATGAGAAGATTGCTCAGAGGCCTGGCCCTATGGAACTGGTAGAAAAAAATATTCTTCCTGTAGACTCCAGCGTTAAAGAAGCTATTATAGGCAAGTAAAAGTCCTGCAGCTTCTATCTGTTATCTATGTGGCATTGTGGAAAATAATAATTAGACTCTTGGGGGTAAAGTTCACTAGAAGAAAACATACTCAAAGTTTATTGCTACTTCAGCTTCTAACTCCTAAACTCTGTCATCATTTAATTAAAGTTATCCTATTTTTATTTGAAACTAAGTTAGAATTATATAGTTGGAGTATAATACTGTCTTTGAAAAACTTGTTTCTTAACAAAAATTATTACAAAATAATCAAACATATGTGGCCATTACTCAATCTGTCATAGGTGTGTGTGCACTCCACATATGTTGAACATACCTTTTAATCTCTTATTAAAACAACTTCTGCTGTCATTATATTAAAAACACAAAAAATACTTATGTACCAGATGTTTATCCTGTGCTGAAAACTGGTAATTTTCTAGCTAAGTCTGCCACCAATGTCTAAATTTAATTTGTGTAACTAAAAAAAAACTGTTTTGCTTGTTTCTTTGTAAACATTCTAGCAGTTGGACAAGAGAATTATCCTCAAGCTTTGGATGATTATTCATTTGATGAAGACAGCAGTGATGCTTTATCACCAGATCAGCCAGCCAGCCAAGAATCCCAGGGTTCAACAGCTTCCCCTGGTGAGCCAAAACCAAGTGATTCACCATCACCAATAACACCAAATGCTGCTACGTCAACACAGGTACAGTTTTTAAATATTGAAACAAAATCTTAATAGTATGGTTTTTGGTCTGGCACTATAGAAATGGGGCATAGTTTTCACATGGAATGAATACATTTGCTGTTGCAAAGGAGTGTCTGGGACTCCATTTTCTGTTTGAGAGTGTATAGACTAGAACCCTGGCTTAGCTGTTGGCAATGATGAAATTCCCATAGACTGTAGTAAAGCCATAAATTCACTGAAATTCATTATGGCCCGCAGAAGATCTACAGCTTTCCCAGAAGTTGTGTAAAAGGTCATATCCATGGTTTAGTCCAGCTGTTATTGATTACTTAATGTCTGTCTTCATTCTGGGCAAGGTCTTGAACTCGTTTAGAATTGAACTTAGCTGAAACAACAACAGTTGACGTCAGTTCCATTATCTCCAGAAAAGTCCATAAAAAATAAAGTTTCCCACATAATTTAAATGTTCTCTCCTATAGTTTTAAAATACTGCCTAAAGAATCTACTATTTAAGAAATGAAAATAACCTTTATGTTGATTTTTCTATGAGGTTTTTAGTATTTTCTCGAGTTACTTACAAAGAAAGGAAAGTAACGAAGTCTGCCACGGCAGATAAAATGTTCTCTTTATAGTAGAGCATTTAAATGCGTGAGGATTTAAAGAACAGTGGATTTGAATGAAAGCACTTGACTTGTTTTCACAAGAGTTGCAAAAATGAGTTTTGAAAGAGATCTCTTCTTAAAACAATTTAATTTTGTGATTTGAAATAGACAGTAACATTGCCTACCCTATCTTTAAACACATCATAAAAGTGCTGATGTAAAACAATTTGCCAAAACAGTAATGATAGTATGAAACAAACACCATGTGCTACAAATGAATTTCTTTTATCTTCTATTAGCTACTGAAAACACGGGGTTACATGCATAATCATATAGTTATCTGGATGCTTTCTAGAATATCTTGTACAGCGCTTGCTTCACAGGTCTTTATCTTCACCTTTGAGTTAATCAGTAAGTTTATTCATTAATCAGATATATGTATTTATTTAAAGGTTACTATGTTTAGCTTAAATAGATTGTTTATGATGTTTTCTGTCATACCTCAGCTAGTAATTTTAAACTCACTAACTTAAGCCCAGTTAAGAGGAGAAGGCTTTGCTTTTAACTAGGTTTCTGCAACTTTCATGGAACTTTATCTCTGGCTAGAGAAAGAGACCCAAATTAAGGCTCCAGTGGAGGGAAAGGCAAGCGGCAACAAGCTTGAATGGTCAGCAAACTCCAAACTAGCCAGATTTAACAGTACTCATCTCCACTCATTAACAGCTTGTTCATTTGAGACTGACAGAGCTAAGTAAATGACAAATTGTGCTTATACTTGCCTAGAGGAACCATTAGTTTGTGTTCATGTGTTGAAATGAAGAGTAACAAAAATCTTGCCTTGTATCAATGCTAAATGAGTTGTTGAATCAAATTTACGCATGTCTGCTGAGCAATTGTGTATGCTAGAAAAAAGTCCTTGATCCTGAACTACTGTTTCTCCCAAAAAGCCCATTTTCCTGTTGTACATAAATGAAAGCAGCTATATTATCACAGAAAAATAATTTGTTTCAGATTGATGCATTTTACCATACTACCCATGTTTACACTTCAATAGATTATTTAGTGGAAAGACTTGGGTTTTCATCACAGTATTATATATATGAAGTGACTTACAAATGATATCAGTTTAATAATATTGCACTCAGCTTTGTATACTTGGTATCAATATACCACCTCTGTATAAGCAAACACAGAAATTTCGGTAATGTTGTCATTTTTGTTTAATTAGCTGAAATGTTTTGTATTAATTTGAGCAGTATTCTTTAAGCAGAAAGTGTGAATTTGATGGAAATTCAAAAGCTTTAGGACTTTAACTTGTTTCATTTCATGCAAGTCTGTACCTGGTAAAAACAAGTTGGTTTAGCCTGTATAACACAAACATGAAAATACTTTATTTTGAAAGAATTTAAGAAATAATCAAAATTTGACCAATATGTGAATGGTACTACTATAAATGGGTAATATTCTTCAGGTTTATGTTGATCAACTGTAATGTATAATGGATTTTTTTCAGGAGGACTTCCTACGAATGTTCCTTCATCACTTTCTCCACTACACAAAGGAGAAAAAGATGCATAACTTTGCAGTTCAAATTATTTTCATGCTTGTCTTTTTATTAAGCATTCTTTTGGAAAATGCATTTTTTTATATACTTAAACTCTCAGAGGATTTGTAGCAAAGCCAGGGCTCTCCATAGGGAACTGTGCTGTAATTTATAAATTAAGACATGAAAAAAAGGTAAGACAGGACTGAGTATTGAGTTCTTACTGTATAAATGTGAGATAAGTATTTTTTGTGCTCCAAAAATGTTATTGTCTTAATGACCATGCATACTTGACAACTGAGTAGTTCAGGATCTGGAATTACTCTCCTTGATTTTCTTATTACTATAGTAGATAGAAAAAGTATTGCAAAGTTCAAATTCAAAAACAATGCTGGACACAAAGTACAGCACATCCATTTTATTTCATTGTTCCCTAACATACGGATTAAGATGTGAATTGGGTTTCATGTCAAGAGAATGTAATTTGTGTTGAATAAATTGAAAACAAACCACATGAAATTAGATTCCTAAGTAGAGACTTGGGTTTCTAATGGAGAGTTAAATAAAAATACTCAAAGCAATACACGCCGAAAGCTTTTCAAGTAGGAAGCATAAGATAGATAGATACGTGATTGCAGCAACAAAATAACAGAGCATTTGAACTTGACTGAAAAAACATTTCAGATAGGACTTCAATCCTTTGCTTATGGATTTCATAACATATTAGAGCCGCTTTTGTGCGCAGATCTAAAAGGCGAAGCTGCTCTTCTGCAGAATAAAACAGATGCTTACCTTGTTGTTCCTTCTGAAATAAAGAATAACAGCACAGCATGTCTCTACAGGAGATGTGTCTGGGAAGTTGCTCTTTCATTCTTTTAATTTCCTCTTACAACTTTTACATTTTATTACAACATAAAATACAAAGAATGTTTTGAAAACAGTGGAGTGCAGCCACAGTTCTCTTCAAGGCTTCCTCCTCCACACATTTCCAGGCCTCAGAGAATGTAACATAACTTTGAGAACCTTCAGCTCTCGTTGACTGATGACCTAAAATTTGCTTTAACCTGATGTATTTGCATCTGGTAAGGATTAGGCATTTTAACCACACCACTCTAAACAGATCAAATTGTGTTGTTCACATTTCTGAAGACATTAAACAGTTATCTTCAAAACAGCTGAAGTATTTTGCTTGATGAGACAGAATATAATGACTGTTTTCTTAATATATTCATTGTAGCTTGTTGACCTGCTGGATGCTTGTTTGCAGTTAGAAAAAAAGGTCCAGAAATCATATTATCTGTAACTGGAAATAGAAGATCTGTTCAAAGGAAATAATCTTTACATTACTTTATGAAGTAGTCAAGTTAAGAAGTTGAGATCTGTTAATTTAGTTTTTTGAGAGATGCATGATTCATTGCCTCATCTGACACTTGTAGGTAAAATTGGGAAGTCTGTAAAAAGATTTGTATTTCATGTAGCCATTAATCGTTTGTAGCTGAGGGTAACAACTAATGTAAGGAAAAAGTTATTTACTCTATAGCAAGAAGAGAATGTTTAACTCCATAAGGTTCAAGTAATATGAATTAAAGAGGTGGGGGGTTGGTTTGTTTGTTTGTTTTTGAAAGTTACTAAATTTTCCATTTTAAAGAGTTTTGTTGTGCTGTCATTATGGACTTGTTTTCATAGCCTATAAAGGGTTGCTAAATAGTATGATTGAAGCCAAGTTATTTGTTTGGGTTCAAGAAGGGTCAGAATGATGAATGGTAAAGGATTATGTAATGAATAAGCTGAAGTATCAAACATTTAAAATGCTTTTTAGATGGGACTTCAGGAAAAGAAAATTTAAGAACCAGTGAAAATCATTAGCATTCTCCTGTGCTTTATGGTAATACTGTACATGACGCTTTGATTCAAAGACAAACTAAGTGCTTTTTAAATGTTACTGCTACAACTAGAATAAGCCTTCTAAACTTGATAGCAACAGGAGTGCAATACGTTGGAATACAGCATCCAGAACCCTTTTTTAAAGGGTAAGTCCCTCTAAAGACCCCTGCCAATTCTTATGCAAGTCCAGCAAATAGCAGATACTGTGTAGATATCGGATGCTTTCCAGAGAAAACACTTTGAAAGTTGGATATAAAAATAGAGGCATTTATATCTTTAGCCTGCCACCATAAACTGACACAACCCCAAGACAGGCATGCGTGCAATGTTTCAGTGACTAGGCACGGCATACTAAATCTTGCAATTTAGTAAGGCAGTATCAGGAGCTTTTCCTCTGGATGGCTGCACTATGGAAGGATCAAAACCACTATACAGTTTAGATAGGTTACACCTGTTGGCAGCTGACGGTTGGAAATGCAGCAAAATGTATAAAAGAAACACAGAGATAGAAGGGAAAACTATTATAATTTAATTGTAAGCAAAGTCAGAGAGCTTAGTGCATGCAGACTGGCAGCTTGGTAACTGCCGTCCAGAAATACAAAAGAACCAGGACATAAAGTTGCAAAATGTTTACCAAGTAATTTTAGCAAACTGATTTAAGTCCTTTGTGGTACAATCTCATGGAAGAATAGTAGAGTACAGGAAGAAATGAATTAGGGAGAAGTACCCATTCTATTCTTAATTAAAATGCAAGGTTTTAGAATGTATTCTGAAGAAAAAGGATATTTACTGATAGGAATATAAGGGAAATGGATGGGCTTTTATAAAAGGAATATTGTAGTAGATGATCTAATTGCTTTCTTAAACAATGGAAATACAACTGATCTCATCTGTCCAGATTTAATACTGCATGGTATTAAACACTAGCAAAACTGGAGAAGGAGATTAGCAGAGATGAGACAGAAAGAGGGACGTATTGGGTTGAAAGGAAGTTGGTAATAGTTCTCTGCAGGAGTTGATTTGGGGACATTCTGGTTTCATGTTACCATTAACAACCTTGACATAAGAATGGGTCACATATGAAAGTTGGAAGGCATAGTCAGCACAGAGTTGGATTGTTGTTATGCAGAAGGAACTCATTGATTTGGCTTTTAGGAGAGAAATGGAATTCCAATAGAATGGAATAGTTCTTAAAAAGAAAAATACACATCATCTCTCCTTCCCATGTAAAAGAAATGTGGAAACCTGGGGACTCTGACTCAAGAGAAAACTGAGGAGGAAGACAGTTGGGGTGCAGTGGTCAGCAGTGAAGTGACTGTGAGCTACTGTGTACTTCCTGTGTAAAACTGCAAGTATGTCAGAAGAGATGATTCCAGTAGAGTGTTAATGCCACTGTAAGGATCCAGTGAGACCCCCTATGGAATATCCTATACATTTCCCGTTACTTACATCCGAAACTGTAACACAAACAGGAAAGGATGATCAGAGAATGAAAAATCTCTTTTATGAGAAAAGAATAAAAATTCATTTGTGTAGCTAGAAAAACAAGGGCTGAGATCTGTTTATGTACAGAGTCTATATCTCATCAGAGGGATATTCACTACAGAAGGAAATAGGTTTTAAATGAGAAAACAATTTCAGCACAGGAAAAAATTGATAGGACAAAGTTAAGCTCAGTGAAGTTTGGTTATTATGTAGGAAAACTTTTGGCAATTTTCTGGTGGGCGTAGTGGTGCCAGGAAACGAATAATAATAAAAAAGTCCTAAGCCTATATGGAATTTCTTAAGTTTATAGAAGAAATTACACACAGGATGTTTGTAACAGCAAGGGAACAAACTCAGTAAAATTCAGGCTACTGGATTATACCTACACAGTAATATAATTGTGCTGGCAGTCAAATACAGAAGAAATGCACCTCCTGGCACAGTCAAAGGTGTGGTTGCCATGAAAATACAATAGAAAGCTGTCTCCAAAATACATCTGCTCTGCTGCTGCATGATCATTCTGAAACAAGGAGTTCGTTTTTCTATGTCGATGTTTGACCTTCATGAGAGGTTTTTCTGATAGTCTAGTTTGGGTGGTAAGATTCTCTTTGTTGACTTCACAGACAAAATAGTGAAGGCCTTAATTCTATAATAATAAAGCAGTGTTTTCTGTAACTTCAGTAGGCTGCTTCAGTATACGTGTAGTGTGTCTAGAGTTAAATTTTAATGTTGCTTAAAGCAGAGTAATAACAAATGGTGGTCTCTCTGCTAACAATTGCTAACAATGATATACTACAAAAATTGATACTAAAATCAATTACTGTTTTGCTTTGGTGAAACTAGAAGTAAATCCTGTATTAGTAAAAACAGATTTTGGATACATTTACATGCAGTAGTTAAAATGCAAACTAGGAAGTCAAGGTAAGAAACCAGTTTATCTTATTTGCTATATTTGCAGCGTGCCAAAATGTACACGAAAGAGTCCTGTTTTCACCATTTCTCCTAAAAAAATTTTGTGAATTTGACATGATAGTAAATTGTCTTAACCTTTTCATATTTTTTCAATTATTCAGATGGTGGATGTTTTTAATGTTTCTCTTTCTCCTTATATTTTTTTAATGCTAGTATCCACCTTTAACCTCTCCAGTTCCTGAATTACTCAAAACTCCCTCTACAATCGAACAGCACGTTACACGTTCTACTGCTACAACCACCCTCACCACAAATACTGTATCTGCAGCAAAGCCTGGGCCAACGTTGGTAAAGGTAGGTATCTGTAATAATGGCATCCGAGGACTATGTTCTTAATCTGTGTCCTTTTCCAATGCTATATTTAATGAAAAAATACATGAGTAACCTCATAGTGCCTATAACTAACAACAAGTTTTATTAGTATTCAGGAGAACATACTGGGTTGTTGACTGAAAGTTTTTGTATGCCAAGATCAGCCATTAACACTTGTAGGTACTGGCTCATTACTTCAAGAGGTCCAGCAGAATTATGCATTACATTGCTATAGAAGTTTTTAAGAAATAAGGACAATAGGTTTTTGCAATATTGAGTTTCTACTTTCTATTGGTGAAATTAATCTTTTCTCATCTACTTTTGTATGGAGAATAATTTAATAGGAACAGAGGCAACCGCATTCATAGTCTACCTATAACCAAACTGGTGAACAGTATTGCTCCTTTTCCACAACTATTTTCTTAGTTCATTTATTGTATAAGCAGAACACACTGTGTGAGAGAAGTTACTGTATCCTTGTATTTGAATATCAGAAAAACATACTCAGTTCTCTTGTCTGCACTGACCTAGCCAGCAGCATGGAAAACTTTTTCAAATACGATTAGAGAGGGGGTTGTGTTAGAAGATGTCTATAATATTTCATTTCAGGAACTTTGTCAAAGGTCAAAGCTGTGTAATGATTGTATGTAATGATTGTATGTGTATGTAGACTTCTACCTAACTCCATGAAATTAATTCTCGGTTAAATTTGCAAGGATGACCTCTAGTAGTCAATTTCTAATATAAATTTGGCTATATCCAGTGAAATCACTGGACTTGTACCAGCTTACTTAATGCAGGACCTTAATGACAAATTCAGATATCCTCCAAAACAGGCTATCTGTGTAATAAATGTGCATGGATCAACACAGGATTTCTGCTTTGATACCTTCTGTATGACTACGTAACTGCCTTCAACTTTTCACTCAAAATAATTTCAAAGAGCTTGTAAAGGAAGAGGGTTTTACCACATGTGCAGGTATTGCTAATAAGGATACTGCTGAAAGTTTCATAAGAGTAATCCTATAATTTACGGGACTGTCTTGTCCATGCTTTTAATCTAGACCTGTAAGTACTTCTGACCTGCAAGTGTTTACAGACAGACTTTAAGATCCTAGGTTTTACTTGTACAAAGTGCTAAGTGGCTTTAACTTACCTGTTTAAGAAGAATGCCTCTTTGCAATGACAGGTCATGACTAGCAAAATCCCTAGCTTCCTTTGTGCCATCTATTAAAAAAACATTCACGAACTGCGATTTGATGACCCCTTCTTGTGCACAGTGTAAGCCAGCTAGAGTATGTTAACTTTTCAAGGATGGTAAGCGATCCTTTTGGGCAGGTTTGCCCGGATAATTGTATTCAGCAACTCTTCTGCAGTAAATGTGCTCCTGTACGCTTTATCTTTGTACCTTGCATAATTGCTTGAAAATGAAATGTCTATTATAGTTGTTTCAATCTTTACCATCCATAAACAGCAAAGCCACCCAAAGAACCCAAATGATAAGCATCGGAGCAAGAAGTGTAAAGAACCTAAGCCAAGGGTGAAAAAATTGAAGTATCATCAATATATTCCACCTGATCAGAAAGGTGAGAAAAATGAACCACAAATGGACTCCAACTATGCTCGTCTGCTACAACAGCAGCAACTGTTTTTGCAGCTGCAGATCCTGAGCCAACAGCAACAACACTACAACTACCAGACAATTCTACCTGCACCGCTGAAGTATGTGAAGCATTATTTGTGTCCTTTAAATATACAGCAGTTATAGACTTCGTGCTTTAGAAGTAAATGTGTTTTGCAAATGTTAAGAGGCGGTTGGAACCCAAGAAAACTTAAATGGCAGCGTGCATCACTGTGGGTATTACTTGCCTCATCTAACAAGGTGATGAGGTGGTTCTCCTGTTAAAATACTCCTGAAGTCTGATAAGCCTTTAAGTGGTCCTGGTTATTTTTGTGTGACATGGAAACAGAACCTCCTACCTGTCAGATGCATTTTTTCCAACCAGATGCATATTTGAAACTCAAAAGCATTTACGCAAAAGCAGGAAAGTTTTGACACCATTTTCACTCTAACATGACATAGGTAGGCAGAGCAGAAGAGAAGCTTACAGACGATGGCTTTTACAAAGACATGCACTATTGTTGTGTTTTTGTCTTTTTACATCAGTTTCACAGACCACATTTTTGCAGTTTACAAATAAGAAGAAACAGTCATTTTGAAGTAGGTAAAATTTGTATATTGTTCGTAGCCTCATCTCTAATGCTTATATGAGTTCCTCATCAGTGTTGATCTTTAGCACTTCTAACAGTGAGAAGTACACTTTACGATTTATAGGTTGAAGCAGTCAGAAAAATAAATCTTTAAAGAGTTGCCAGCACCATATAGCAGAATAAGAAGCTGACTATCTGCAGTTTCATTCTCACCATCTAAGACCAATCTTTTCCTAGAAGTGCTTACAGTGTAACATGCCACAGTCACACAACCCTGTTTTTTTTTAAAATGAGTTTTCACTGAGTTATTTTTCCTCAGCAAGTGAGGCTAGAAAAGTTAAAGATACCATCTGTGGTTATATTTATAATTACCATGTATCCTAACATTTGGACTAGAAATGTTTCTGCCTGCTTACCCACGCTTCTTATGTTCCATTTACTGACATTTCAGAAACGTTTCTTCATAAATCAGTTGAACGAAATGAAAGAGCTGACTTATGGTACCTAGTGTAAATGATGGCATTTTTAATTTTTTTTTACAATTATTTTGAGATCCTTGTATGAGATTCTTCATATGAGTACAGCTGATAAAAATGCATCATCTTCAGAGTAAACTGCCTTCACATCAGTCCTGACTATGTATGAACATTGTACGTGTATGTAGGGTTAATACATGAGAGTTCAATATTGTGGGTTTTTTTAATTTATGTCAAACAAAAAGGTAACTAGTTGCCTTAGCTGATGATTAATTTGTATAAACTGATTCTGCAGTCCATAGTATCCTTCAGGGATGCTATGACAATAATAAAAACTATGAAGCATAAATTAGTACGCTTAACTGAAGAGAAAATAAAATATCAACATACTACTCTTGTTTTCTTCTCTGTGCTATTCTGTTAAAAATATTTAATGGTAATGTTTTATGTTAAATATGCGTTTGTAAAAAAAAAATTAATTTGTTCATTAACTTGATAGACACTAGATTCAGAATCACAGATTCTTGATTGAAAACATAATATATTTAGCATTGACCTTATTGTCCCCCTTTTTCTTATCACTTGAAGGCCACTGAATGACAAACAGAATAACAACGGGAATACGCCACTGAATACTTTGAATAACAGTACACCAACATCAGCTGCCAGCTCACCAAGACAGAATAGTAATATTCCTAGCCGGAAACCAGGACCTCTACCTTCAAGCTTGGATGACTTGAAGGTAAAAAATAAGAGGGATTTGTCCGTTCCTGTGCATCACTATAGGTCATAACTTGCAAACTGTTACTGTCAAGAATAAGCCCAGATATTATTTACCAATGAAAACTGTACTTTTCTCTTAACTGTTTAGAATAAGGTTGTAAACTTTTCATACACAACTCTTCTGGACTTAAATATTTGTTTTGATTTAGCCTCCTCACATGTATATATTCTAGAAATGACATTTCTTTCCCAAAGAATTAGAAGAGGAAGAAGAATTTCAGCCAGGTTGTATAGGTACATAATTTGATACCTTGGGTAAACTGTAAAGTGCACTTCATGAACAGTAACTTCCTCATGACAATTTTAGTATATCAATGAAGAGGTTTATTTAAGCAGTATAAATTAAAAGATGCCTAGTAATAACATATTTAGAGAGGTCACTGCTATAAAGCCGACACAGAAATAACACTAGTAAAAGAGAATAGAAAATAAGAGATCTTCTTACGAGAGTTCAACACGTTATCTGAAAATGAACACTAAATTTCATAAAAGCTTCTTGAAGTTATACTGTGTAAACTCTGTTTAAACTGTGATATGAAGGCATTGGATAGGATTTTCCTCCTTCAGAAATACATTAAGAGGAATTAATACTGTGAGGGACCTAATGAAAATGAATCTGAAGAAGCTTGAGGGGGTTTGCATTCTGATCCTTTCAATCAACTACACGAATGTGCCAAACCCAAGCAGAGGAGTAGGGACATCTATTGAGCAGTTCATTCATTTCTCCTTTCCTTTACCAAGGTGTTGGGTTTCTGAGGGATGGGAGTGAGTATTGTTTTAGACTTGAAGGGATAAAAAAGAGGTTTTGGAAGATCAGATTCTCAAGACAGTAATGTATTGTTGTCAGTTAAAGCCAATCTTTTAATATGAAACAAGTCTATAAAATGCAATTCAAACAACAGTGTGTGAAATAAGCTTTTCAAACTTTAGGTTATTAACTATTAACTTTTTAAGATATTTAAGTTAGTATCTGAATTTGTGCTTTGCAGTGATTAAAACTGTTCACTTACCCATTTCTGCATAATTTATTGATGTTCCTGCTAATGTGGTAACAGTAACATAAGCCATACTTGCAGACCTGCTGGTAGTGGTTTTAACACTCAATCATCTAAATCAGTTCTGATTAAGAATTCAGAAATGCATTGTTGAAAAACAGACAAATTGGAATGCACTCTCAAGCAAGCGTAGAGGATACCAGACTGGGGGAAACAGCTGATAATCACTGTTAGGTAGACAGTTATTTAACATAAAATTGCTGTGGTTCTTACAGATGTTAGGCAAATGGATTGCTGTGACTTTTCATCATTTCCAAATCCTGAAGACCTATAATTTAAAATTCTAGACTGGCAAAGTACTGAAATATTACTGAGGTCACTACCTTTTATTCTTTTAGAGTTGATTCTAACATATATATAGCCCAAACATGCTACAGTTAGATGCGGTGTATGTATATCATAAACAGAAGCCATTCATTGTGACTGTTCTTTTTTAATTGATATTTTGAAGCACAGAATTAATTTACACTCAACACATTTGTACTTCACTTTGTAAGCTTATTGGAAAATTGAGAACATTTTTATATCAGAAATTAGATTAATTTTGACTGCCTATATTTTTTATGTTTGTAAAAGAAACCCAGATGGCACATAGCTGTAACTATTCAGTTGCTAATTACAGAGAGGATCTTTTGTGTTTGATGGGTCTATTGAATCATCCAACTAACCTGATAAAATTTCTCAGAAATTGATCTATCTGTCTTGATAGTGTAGCAAAGGGCTTCAGTGTGCTAGTGTTCAGTGCTTTTATCTGCACTGCTACCATCATCTATAGGTTTGCTTCAGAAGTTTTTAGCCCAGAATTGGAGCTGTATGTTCATTTTCCCATTTTGAATATTTATGAAAAATCAGCATAACTTTGCTACTATTCATTGTACAACTGAACACTATTAAGGTTTTGGCTACTTAAACAGTGAAAGTAAGTAGCAGGTCATGGAAACGTGCTCATGGATCATGCACGCTGTCAGAACCCAGAGATGTAATAACTAGAGAATATGTTGAAAAATAATTTTTCTTACTAAGGTGTAATAAGGTAGAATGTGTATAAGTAATTTTTTTTTATTATTATTATCGTGTTTTATTTTATTTCAGGTAGCGGAGCTTAAAATGGAGTTGAAATTGAGGGGATTACCAGTGTCTGGAACAAAAACAGATCTTATTGAGCGTCTGAAACCCTATCAAGATCTTAATAACAATGGAGTTGCTATTAGTAGCTCTGTTACAGTAACCACTTCTACTGGGGCCACAGGTAGCACTGGGGAAGTGACTGTGGCATTTCCTGTTGCAACACTAAATAAACCAGTGGCTAATACGATATCCAGCTTTCCTCCAGAAAAAACATCTACTGGATCTGGCTGCAAAGTAGTAAATACTGAAAACATTAGCTCTCCTTTGCCTATATCTCCCTCTCCTTCAGAACAATCTAGTCTAAGCACAGATGATACTAGTATGGCAGATACTTTCACAGAAATGATGACCATGATGTCACCATCCCAGTTCTTAAGTACTTCACCACTAAGAGCAAATATGAGTGACGATAATCAGAATCGCAGTAGTGGAACCATCTCAGCCATGGAGTTTGATGTAGCAGAAAAGGACCGCAAGCTTCAAGAAAAAGAAAAGCAGATTGAAGAGCTCAAAAGGAAACTGGAACAAGAGCAAAAACTTGTGGAAGTATTGAAAATGCAACTTGAGGTTGAAAAACGGGGACAACAGCAACAGTCTCAGACTTCTGGTAACTCAGCTGCTTTGGAACAGAAACAATTCAGTGCTGCTATCAAAGATGAAAATGCTCTTACTGACTGCTCTAGTACAAGTCAATCTGTACCTGTAGCTAGTCATTCTTTAGGACAATCGGTATATACTAGTGGCCAGAATCCAGTTGCCAAAAAGGCGGTTGTTATCAAGCAGGAGATACCTGTGGCCAAAGCTGAACCTCAGAATGCCATTTCTCAATTTTATGTTAATCCTCAGAGGCAGCCACAAACTGCAGTTGTTGCCCAGCCTCAAGCTTTATTAACTACCCAAGGAACTGCACAGCTGCTCCTTCCACTATCTATCCAGGGACCGAATTCTACCACTGCGGTGCAGCTACCAGTTGGAAATATAAAGTTGCAGGTAAGGGTGTTTTTATTTTTCATCATGTAAACTGCATGGCACTATTTGCATAATTTAGTATAAATAGGTAAATGTGCTCCTTGTAAGATTAACTTAAAAATCAGGTTTAGCCTGTTTCTGCTTTAGGGAAAAGAGTAGAAAAACTTAAGAGCCAATCTCTTTATAACTTCTTCTAGTACTTGCTTTCTTTGCGACTTTTGTTCCCAGATACTCCTTCCTGAAAATTGTCTTACCATGTACTGCCTCCATGCAGAGTTGGTTTTGATTTATATCAGCATATACCACCATTTTGTTAACTCCAAATTGTAATAGAGAGCTACAAACCCAGTACTTTATTTTGAGGTATACCCGTTTGCAAAATGTGTGTTTGAACTTTCTTGTGTGGTGATGGCTCATTATATTTAAAAATGTGAATGCTAGGTTGTAGAACTCTAGTGGAGCTATAAAAAGAAACCATGGTTACACAAATATTATTTCTAGGCTGATTATAGGTAGTAAAACAGTGAATAAATACAGCATAAACCAAGATAGGTTATAAATGAAGAGGTATAAGAGTAATCTGACAAAGCTGAAACAGTTTAACCTGTTGCTCTAAGGTAGAATTAAGCATGTACTTCCCAGTGGCATTATTGGGACATAGCTAGATGAAATCCCCTGCCACCCACATGGTTATTGTGCCAGCAAAGTATTCTTTCAGCTCCAGTGTCTACGTGGCTGTTGTGGCATGTTGTGGGCCTAGGCTTTGGTGCTAGCATGTGCACCATCATATTTAGCAATACCTGTGAGGGCTGTAAAATTCTGATGGGGATGGGCCCCACAGTCCACAGTAAAAGAGCTATTCCTAGTAGCTACGCATCCAGACAGATCTTTGTCTAAATTGTTCTAAAATCCTGCTAGAATTCTGCAACAACCTTAAGCAGCTTGTTCTGGTATTTCACTTCACTGATACTGCAGAAAGTTCTCCTAACTACCAGCTAAAATTGTCTTTCCTGAGGTTAGACACGCTTCTTGCCTTTCAGTGGCCATTGAAAACTACTATGATCTTCTAAAAAACAACTTTTCTTGCATCATCAGTTTTGTCTTTCTGGTTACTCAAACTCAGTTCTTAGAGTCCTTTCTTACTGGTTATGCTCGCTCTATCTCTTACTATTTTCATTGCTCTCCACTGGACCCTCTCCAGTTTGTCTTTATCTTTTTTGAACTCTGTTGGCAAAATAACCACCACCTTTTAGCTGGGAACTCACCAGTACCAAACAGACTAAAAATTTTGTCTGCTATACACAGTTCACACTCATCCTTCCCAGAATATATGCTATTGCTATTCTGCATAATCTATGCAATAGATTTTTACATGATGTAATTTACTGTGAGATACGAATAATGCAAATATTTTATCTTCATCCTTTAGGCTCAATCACAAGCTGGAATACAGACCCCATCACAAATACCTGCTCCTATTTCTTCCTCTGGCCTGGTCCAGACAGCACCTCAGATGCATACTCCACAATCAAAACAAAATACCATCACGCAGCATGCACTTGGTCAGACCCAACAAATCAGAAAGGTTTGTGGATAGCAATAAGCATTACGATAAATAGTTGTGTAATCTAATTCTAGGCAGTACTTTTAGAATCTTTTATGTGTCATCTGCGTCATATATAAACAATCAAGTCGCCTAACATCTCTGTACCATGATTTTCTGTGTGATACAATGGGCTTGTAAGTCCTTCTCTTTACAAAATTTTAGTCCATGCAGGACTTTATTTTTCAGTTGCAAATAAATACATAAGGCTAAAGACTTTTTATCTTAATGGTACTCCTATGGCACCACTCTTACTGCGTTCTTCCTCATGCTTGGCACAAGTGGTATACCAGGTATTCCAGTCAGTTTCTTTTATTTGCCACTGGCTCAAAATGGAAGATTCTTGTAGGCAGTTCTTAAGACAAAGCTTTTACCTATGATTTCAGAGATTTATTCTTTTATAGGAGTTCCTTTTAGTTTTCCTACTTTCCTTGTTGATTTCATCCTTACTTAGGAAGAAAGCTATGGACTCAGATACTGAGGATAGCAATTCCAGTGAGTCAAAATCCCACCACACCTATGGTACATCTCTTCCTGAGGAATGCAGGGAATAGATTCTGAGAGAGATCCTTCTTTTCCTCTCTACTCAAAACAATCAGCTCTGAAATTTCCCATTCCAAACCCTATGTTCATCAGCACTGGATGCACAGCTGTGAGTGCCGATCCAGTCGTGTCCATCTGGTAACTGATATCAACCCATCAGCACCAGTCATCACAAGAGAAAAGGCTTTCTCCTCCTTTGAGCCTCTTCCAGGCTGACTTCTATTACTAGGAACTCGGAGATTGGTCTTTGACCTTTATTGCTTCCTTATCAGTGCTATTGACTCTAAGGCTCCTATCACTTAGGAGAACAACGTTTTTCAGCCTGCCCTAAGGAAAGGATAATTCAGGAACAACTGAAATTTCAAGATGAAGATGGTAATTTTTACGGTATGTTATGTAACTGTTACAAAGTATCTCAGCCTTCAGAATTTGTATTTCAGTTTACAAAACTGCATCATAAAACCCACATTCTGATGTGATTTCGGGCTTCTACCTGTACAGTGTCCTCTAATCTGCTTCTGCTAAAGCTCTTGTTCCAGATAAGAATTTATCTTAGAAGATGTATGATTATGCCCTGCCATTCTCTAGACAGCTGGCTAATAAAGGGGAACACAACTAAATGAGCATCATCACTCTTCAGACTGCTTGTTCAATCTGTTTAATTTCATGGACATTGAGGTTATCCTACAGAAGTCAAAACTGACATATATCCAAAAACCAGATTTCATCCAGGTTCTCTGGGATTTGGTGAGGGGCTAATCTTATCTTGTTAATTCGACAGGTCCCATATAGAAATTCTCTGGTCATCCTGAGGCGTGTACTTGTGCCAGAGACTTGCAGTTTGCCTCCTCTGCTGTCTAGAAGTTCCTTGAAATGATTGCAGGGAATAACCAAGAATTGCACCCTCTGGTACCCTATTCAGATCAGTTGTCATGGAGACCACATAGTTCCCAGCAGACTTTAGTCTGCATCTGGCTATCCTGGAGCTGAACAGCCAGCCTATCTTAGCTTTTTTTCTCACAATCTACTGCCATCTTTTACTCAGGAAACGAGATGGTGTAATTGCACTGGTTTTTTACATCAGAATGTAAAATACTGATGTGATACAATAGATCAGGAGAGTCTTCATGCATTCAGCATTAGATCTACCTGTCTGCTGTTTGCATTTCATGAGGCTTGGATATTTCAGCAGGCAGACTGAGCTAATGAACTGTGAGTGAGTAATGCTACTTACTAATTTAACACTTTTTAGTGAAGTTGGTCTTCCTAATAGTGATCACCTCCATAACCAGTTGTTTTCCAGAACTGGTTTCCCTTGAATCATGTAGACTTTCTCAGGTAGCTCTGATTTTTATGCAAATCAGCTGATTATTCCATTTATTTTCTCCTACACACTCGAGGTGTCTCTTCACATTCTAGCTGCCACATGGCCCTTGTTCTTCAATTCATTCAGTAATAAGGAGACATCTCCATAGCCATTCACCTCAGTGGTACACAGCTGGAAAGTACAACAGTTTTCACACAGATGATCCAGGTGGCTAACAAAAACTGTATTAAGCCCTCTCACAGCAGACTTCATTTGGTATTCAGACTGTGCTCCACAAATCTTGTCCTAGCTTTATCTCCATCCCTGATCTAAGATTTGTCACACCTTTGTCACAAAGGTATCTGGGAGTGATACTGAATTTAAAAGAACAGTCTTATTCATTCATACATACATAGCTCCTCTTCGTCTCCCTTTAACTTAAAAATATGAGAAGTAGGATACTGCTTGGAATCATCTGCAATGAGTGTATGGACTATCAGTTGAAGAAATAAAAAGGTTATAGTTATATACCAGTAACCAAATATACAGTTGATACCCAAGTTCATCAGTTGTATCTTTTGCCTCTCCCTCACTACTCATAGATATCTGTAGTTAAAATAAATGAGAATTACATAGCACAAGCCAAACCATTCTGTCTTAAAACAGGCAGCATAGGACAAGTGTGGATACATATGCTAGTTTGTATCAGGCCAGAAATAAGTTAATTTTTTAATTGTCCACTAGGTGGGGAAGTCATGCATACTGTCCATACTCTTCTGAATGTATTTCGGAAAAATTTTATTACACTTCCTCCTGCTTCCTGGAAAATTGCAGGAAAATATTTTTAGTTGAATGAAAACATGTCACAGCACAAAGTTTCTTTCAAAGAGTAATTGTTCTAGATTAACAAATTATTCCACTGGAGGGAAAAATCAGTACAAATAACACTCCCTTAATAGGGAATTTAAGCAAGCAAGTATTTTAAAAAAAGTCTTAAACTTTATTAATGTCATTTACCCAGTGAATTTAATTTAAAAAAAACGCAACGCACAACCTAAGACTGATATATTATTCCTTTACAGGTTTTTCCACCTACCACATCAAATACAGTATTTTCCTATCAGACTGCACCAGTTACAACACCTTCACAATCTTTTATTAATAAAACATCAAACTCTAACATTCACACTGGTGGTAATCAGGTTCCCTCTGTGCAGAATGGACCTGCTACTCCCAATAAGGTAAGATCAGCCCAACAATGTTCCATAAAATTCAGTTTTATATTATTATTCTTAAATAACATGTGACTATGTACATACTGTAGTTCACTCAAGGAGGAATAATGTTTTGTAGATTTTAATAATGCATATATGTATGTATGTGTGAGAAAGAGAGAAAGAAACTATTACTTTATCCCTCTGATTACCTGTGCTATTGTTATTTGTAAATACGTAGATTGGTACGACAAAATAGTATAATCTATAGAACTTGATACATCTTGAATTCACTAGAACGTATTGTTTAGTCATAATTTTGTTATTTCACACAGCCTGGCTCTCCGTCTCAAGCCCAGCCTTATATTGTTCAACAATCCCTCTTCAACAACGCAGTATCCAAGACAAAAGATCCTCCTCGTTATGAAGAGGCCATAAAACAGACTCGCAACATTCAGACATCGCACCGTGAGGTAGTTAGTTTCTCCTGTTTAGTCCATTAAAAACATTCTTTTTTTCTTAAGAATTATCAAAGCCATTGCTTATTTTAGTTTTTTGTTTGGTGTCAAGATTTTCTACCATACCCTGTTAATATTTTCATAACTGTGTTTAACTACAGGACTCCTGTTCCATGATTCTTTTTATTAAAGCAACAGACATGTAAATAAGTCTTAGAGTATCCAGTTGGTGATGTATATAATTGGGATAATGCTGCTATTGCTACTTAACAATAGCTAGCCTTCAACTGACTTGTTTCAAGGATGTATGATACCCAAACTTCAGACTTAAAAGAGAGAAAATATATTCATATTTTCCAAAGTGAGTAAACTTCAGGAGAATGTGTGTGTGTTTATGCACACTTCGGCAAACATATATATATACATGAGCACAGGTGCTTGCTTTGAAAGACTCTATATTTAGTGAGCTTGATGAATAATCCTATGCAGTGCTTTGTCAGTTTACCATGATACCCTTCATGTTGGAGGAAAGTTGCAAACAAAACTAACCTCATGCGTTTCAGAATTATCTCAAAAGGTATAACCTTGTAGTGACTTAGTATTAGTTGCTGGTTTTGTGGTGGCAGACACTCAGGCAGAATATGGGTATCTAATGCCATTTCATACGTTCTTGGCATGTGTGGGAGATCCTCACAGCGAAGGCATGCAGGTCTTCTTACGCAACTTCTTACGGAGGGAAACGTTGCCACCGAGGATGAGGATA